GGCTTGCTGTTGTAGCCAAACGTCTTCTAGCTTTGTAACGTAAGCATGCCATCCGGCAACATAGTCTTGTCTGCAGGCTTGTAATTTGGCCAATTCTTGTTTGGCCTTTGCTTGCGCGTTCACTGCGTGATGCAGTTTCTTTGTGTCCGAAATTCGTGTTTCTTGGCCATGAGCGTCTATAAGCCCCTTGACTGCGTCTGGGAGTTCGTCCCGGCTCTGCTGGAGCTGCGCCGCAAAGCGCCTTTTTATCTTCTGATACCTCTCCTGGTGCCGTTGTCGATTTTGGTGAGGGAAGCCCTTGGCAACCTGCTTGGGAGTTGAGGGTGCCTACCTTCAATTCCAATTCGCTGAAAGCCGAACATTCCAAGCAAATCCTTGACCGCCATTTGCGCGCCGGTAGAGTTTGCGCTGTGGTTTTCGAGCCGACAAGTACTTCACTGATCGTTACGTTTGCCTTTCCAGTCGTGATTGTCAGGGGCAACTTGGGTGCCAGCTCTGGCTCCATAGGTCGCTTCGTGTAGGGATTAATAGTTCTGGCTTGGAAGTTGGGTGGGAGTTGAAGAGCGCCACCATTCTCCGGAGCCAGGAGCGATTGCTAGTTGTAAGCCTGTGTGCTGGACGCCAACAGTTTTGCTTCTTCGTTGGGCGTGCTCCAGTTGATGGTGCTGGTCCCAATGTTCTTGAGGAGTGGTGGGACAGTCTGGAGTCTGCCGTTCGTGCTGCTCCTCATCGCGCCATTCCCATTTTCATGATCGACTGCAATGCCTGCTTCCGAGTAAAGTCCCGACCCCCCTCAGCAGACAGAAAGCAAACAGTCATAATGCTGAACATCTCCTCTTTTTCTTAAAGCAGCTCGAGCTGCAAGGCAATTCTAGCCATGACAGAGACGGCCATGCGCTGTTTTCATGGGTTTCGCCGTTGGGCAGCAAGTCCTTGATTGACTTTGTCCCTTTTCCGCGGTCCCTTGGATCTTGTGCTGCGACGGTGGGGCACGTTAAGGGAGTTAAGGTTGAAGGGGAGGTTGATCATTTTCCGGTCGCAGTTGATCTTTGTTGGGCTGGTGTTGCGGTCAAAGGTGGCCATCACATCAGATGGGACAAGGAGAAGATGAGAACCGAAGACGGGGTGGCTTTTCTCAGAAACCTCTTCACTACCGCACCAAAAGTCGACTGAAGTCTGCACCCAGGCTTGCATTTGCACGTGCTGCATGAACACGTTCACCAAGGGCTGAAGACCATGTTCACTTGGAAGACGCAGAAGCCACGTGCCAGGCATGTCTCTGATTTGCAGTAGTGGGAATGCGTTAGGCAGAGGATGGCTGCTCGACGGATCTTACATCGTGGCAATTTGCTGGCCTGCAAACATCTGTTGACTCATGTGTTTGCTTGCTGGAGGCATCTCAACAGCTGCCGTCAGGTTAGACGGACGAGTCGCCCTAAGGCCCACCCTGGGCAGAGGCTTAGCACTTGTCGCAAGCTGGCTGCTAGATGCGCAATTGCTACTCGTGTCCTTAGCCAAGCTAAAGGCAGGGGCGCAAGGACCTCGCAGATCATGTCCGCAAAGTTGTTGCCGAAGCCAGAGCTGCCGGTCCTGCTGAACTTGCTAAGGAGCTTCGTTTTGCGCTCCGCTGTGGAAGGAAATTCCCCCCCATTTCTGCTGCTGTTCCTTTGTTGTCAGCTGGGGGTAGTGTGCTCACTGTTCCTGCTGACGTACAGAAAGAACTTGAGCGGGCGTTTGCTGTGCCTGAAGGTGGTCAAGAGGTGCCTTGGGAGGAGCTCTATCTGGCTGATTTCCCCAGCTAAGACAGAAACGTTGATGTTGATCTCAGAGAACTTCCCAGCTTGGCCGAGCTTAAGGTTTCCTTGCGCTTAAAGCTGGCAGAGCTCCGGGGGCCTCTGGTTTACCTCCTGAAGTGCTTCGGGGGGCGGCGCTTGAGGCTGCAGCATCTTACCTTCCAATCATTGCCAAATCTGCCGAGCGAGCGCGGTGTTCTCCCCATCTTGTAGCAAGGGCCTTGCGCGAGCTGTTCGGGCCAAGCTTGAGGGTCCTCTTCGCAGGGTGATGACGCCGGGACAGAGCAGCTCACTCAAAGGCCAGCGTTTGAGTGTACCCTCTAAGACTGTGCGGCTTTTTGTCAGAATTCTTAATCATGACAAGAGGGCAGGCGGTATTCTGTGCGTCGACGGTAGGTCGGCGTAGTGCTCATTGTTCCGTCACCTGCGCCTCCAAGTAGACGAGCCTCGCGAATTTGACAGGCTTTGTGCACTTGTTGAGCCAAAGACAAGAATAAGAATGCCATTGTTGCTGCCATGAGCGTCGGACTTTTGGAAGAGGCAGGGGTTTCGCCCACCTTGAAGGACTTTCTGGCCACATCCATGCAGGGCACAGGGTTTTCAACCAACTTTGAATGTGACACCATTCAAATGACAGCCAGTGGGACTGTTCCAGGGACTCCACTTGCCGATATGCTTTATCAATTTGGGTTGACAAAAATGCTTCGAGCTACCATTCAGGAGATGAGGGAGCAGAATCTGCTTGCAGATGTCTGCAGTAACAGCCTGAAGAGCATGTCAGTCCCAGTGAGCTTGGCTGACGATGTTGCGCTGCTTGTGGCGTGTGCGTGCTAGCAATGCGTTGGGGGTTGTTCCTCACTTGGTTGCTGCCACTCGCGTAGTAGAGGCTAATAGCAGGGCCATTGGAGTTGATCTTAATTTCGGAGAAAAGAAGACTGCGGGAATTTGCGTTTGCTGCGGTCCGCGCAGCAGGGAGGCCAAAAGGCGACACTTAGTGGACCCAGTTCCCAAAGCTGTTGTTGACCTTGCGGATGGAAGACATGCTGAGCTGTGCTTAGTTGAGGCATACCAGCACTTGGGTGGAGTTGTGGATCACACCGGATCCTGCTTGAAGGACATTGAATGCCGGAGGAGATCTTCGAATGCAGTCTGCAAGCAGTTGCGGAGAGCCATCTTGCCAAATCCTGTTCTCAGCTTGGTTGAGAAGGCAGACTTGTTGACATCGCTTGTGTTGAACAAGTTTTCTTTCGGTGCAGGTGGCTGGGTCCTTGGCACTCAGAATGAGCAACGCGCTTTCCGTTCTGCCGTCATGTCCTTTCAGCGTATGTGTTTCCGTCCGATTGCCAAATGTAGCGCAAAGCTCTTGAACGACGAAGAGATTAACAAAGCCCTCGGGCTCCCCTGGTCCAGATGATATACTGTTAGTGGAGCAGGCGCGTATGTTGGTTGATGTGGTTGAGCAGGGGCCAAGGTTTTTAGTGGGGCTTGCCATCGCTGAAGGCAGCTGGCTTGAGGCTGCGTGGAGATCCCTTGAACATGTGCTTGAAAAGTTGAAAATACCTTAGAAGCCATGTTGTGAAGCCATTCACTGTCTGGAGCCTTTGGTCAGTCGCGTTGTGCAGTGTCGTTGCGCCTTGCGGCAGTACAGCAGAAAGCTTTCCAAGCAGCTTCGTGAAGGGGCGGCAGCTGTTGTGGAACATGCCCGATACGTGGAGGCTTTTGAGAAAATTGGCGGAGTCGTGCTTCCAGTGCTCAAGATGGCTTGGGCTCAAACTTGGCCTTGCGGGCGCTGTACCATGAGCTTCCAAACGAAGGCAAATCTTCACTCTCATATGTCCAGGAAACACGGGATACGTGCCGAACTCTCATGTGTAGGTGGCACTCAGTGCGCTAAATTTGGACGTGAATTTTGGGCCACTTCCAGGCTCAAGGATCATGTGCGGCAAGGCAATTCTTGTTTAGCTTTTGTTATGTTTCCGCTGATCTGGGTGCGTCGACTGCATTTGAGCAGGTTGGTGACCGCAAACAGAGGGCTTGGAAACCTCCTATCAAAGGGGAAGGGCCTCAACCATTCTGGGCCAGCCTGGATCTGATCACGCATGAAGTTGATACCTAACCCTTTCCATGAGACTGCCGAGGCAAAGCAGGTGAAACTTGAAGAAGAGCTTAGGTTGCTTCTTATCAGCCAGAAGCATGATGATCTTGCCTCTTGGGCTTTGGCCGCTTGGAAGTGGGTTCACTGCAATCCTGCTGACACTGCTCTCCCATCACTCGACGAGGGGGGCCACAGGGCTGAAGTTTTGAGAATCCTGTTCGACGCTCGGGATGTGGATTGCTCTGATGGGTTATGCGAGGGAACTTCTGGTGGCGGAAGTTGAACAGGAAAGTTTTCTTGCAGCAAGCCTAGCGCTGAGCGCAATGTAGCATGTCTCAGAATTTACTCGCGCGTCCTCGGACTCTTGCAGAGTGTGCAACAACAACAAATCGTTCCTACTACACGATGGAGCTAGCAGATTGCCGTAGAGACCGCGATACTCACTGTTTCTCTGTGGGTGCTTATGCTCATGGCGGTGGTATGGTTGGTGTTAGAAAGAATACCCATTTGTTCCCTGAGATCGCCAAGGTGCTCACAAGGTTTGTTAAGCAACAGCAAAGAAACCACACGTTCACATCCGTTGCTCTTTTCCGCGGACAGCAAACCGAAGTCCACAGTGACAAGTGGAACGAACCGAACTCGTGCAACTTAGTGCTGCCGATCACGCAGGTTGTCGGTGGAGAGACCTGGGTAGCAGACTCAGACGGTGAAGACCAGTGCCCACAGTTCAACAAAACTTACCTGGTCGCATTCTACCTCTCCCAGCGTTGCTTAAACCTTCGCGTAAACACTGCACCATCCCATGGCAGGGATCTTTGGCAGAGCGTGTTGTGCTTGTCGCTTACACGCCCCGCGGTTGGAGCAAGCTGTCCTTCCAAGACCAACAGCTTTTGAGGGATGCGGGTTTCCACATGCCTCACCCTCAAGCCAGTGTCGTCTGTGTTGCCTCCTCCCTTGCAGGGTGAATTGAGGTATGCAGTACGCCCGAGTAGGTTCCTTAGCTGTAGTGTTATGCTGTTGCTTCTGACAGTTGCCCTAAGGAAAGGCAGTAAAATGAGCTTCCTGAAGGGGGGAGTTGAAGAAATTCCGTGTTCTGCCCCTCATGTACAGTCATGTCAGGATAGCCATGTTATGTACCAAGCACTTGCGATGTACATTCCGAATTCCAAGCACTTGCCATGTATATTCCGATTTGGCTCAAGACAAAAAGTGTGCGTTAGCATACTTTTGCTTCGTTGTCTTGTCCTGTTGTCACTACTCACTGAACTTGCGGTGTAACCCTTGTTCAACTGTAGTGAGGGACACGGCGCACCCTGCCATCACTGGTGCCATTCTTTGCCGGAAATCGATACCCTTCCCTGAGATCACGATGATTTTTGAGCTGGATGGATCTAGGAAGCAAGGCGCAAGAATCCTATCCCCCGTCACTTGTGGACTAGTTTGTTCGCGAGACTGAAGAGGGGGCAGGAGTACATGATGGTTTCCAGCAGGCTCATCGCAAAGATCGCTGACAAGTTCAGGGAGGACAAGCTCATGTAAGCAATGGGATATTGGGGTATTTTGCTATGCCACATACATGTTGGCGGCTGGTGGATTGAGCAGAGCTTTGAGATCCGCCTTCAAGAGAAATATTGTGGAGTGCAAGGGTGTGCGCAAGCTGCGATTTACCGTGAGTGCATATTGCACAGTCATCCTTTTACAGATTTTATGTTGAATCGTGGAAAAGTTCGAGCTCTTGCAGCGTTCGTCTCACTCAACTAGTAGATGTTCAATGTGAGGGGTGTCAAAGAGTACAAAATTTACCCCTTTACCAACATGTGTCAGTCATACGCAAAGTGGAAGTGACGGCTGATTGCAGTGCCCCAATTTTTGGTTCAAGTTTCCCCCTGGATAGCTTAACCATCGTAGTGGGACATAGCGCTATGGCTATGCCATAGAAACCTTGGTGGCTGGTTGGATATAAAAGGTTTTGCGCTCAGAAAACATTCGTTGCGTGAGTGATTGCGCAAGCTGCTTTATTGAGAGTGCAGATCACCCAGTCAGGCTTTTACAGCGCGCGACAGACAAACTTCCCAGGCTGTCCGCCATTCCTTTGGCACGTCCTTGTCCTCATCCGCAGATCGGTCTACATATCACCCCAGCCGTGGTGAAGAGTGTGTTGTCAGCATTGTCCAGATGAGGTTGATGTTTTGTGAAAACGATTGACATGTACTTGCTTGGTAATCAAGGGTTCCCACGTGGCAAATTTAGGGGAATGAGAGTTTGAGGTGCTTGGGGTGGGGGCCTGTTCCAAACAAGATGGAAAAGACCAACCTGGATTCCTGGACTCTAAGACAACAACCGAAGCAGCGCTTCCTGAACCCCCCCAGGCCCAAACTCTACACTCCCTGTGCTTAGCCTTCACAGATCCACAGGAGCCTTCAAAGCAGATTGAAGCCCTGAAATCTCATGACTCCCATGCTAATCTTTTTACTCATGGAGTTCAGACTTGCCCTGCCTCCCAAATTCTGAGCCTCATACTGTAAACCTTGAATCCCAAACCGTAAACCCTGAACAGGGCAGGTGCCCAAAATGCCCAAAGGTGGTGCCACACAGGCTTGATCAGGCCTGCTTCCAACCATCAGGAGCTGACTGCCCGCAGAAACTCTTAGCTACAGGATACCCCATCCTCGTGGGCCATGAGTGCACTTCCCAGGCCACATTGCACTCGAAAGAACCATTTTGCCGAGCCAGCACTGCGTCTGCGGGAAATCGCACCAATCCCTGTGCTCTGAAAACCCCTCTGCTTGGTAAATTTCCCAGAGCCTATTTGAAAAGTTAGGAACCTGGCGCCCAGTGGCGGCGTCGCCCCAGGCGAGCGAGCAGAGGCTCACGCTGTGGGTTTTACAGGTTCTACAGAGTATACAGGGTTCAGAAGTTGCACAATGTTCTGAAATTGTTCATTTGGTATCCGGTAGAGGTTCAGGGCTGAGAGAATAGAGACCATGACAGGGGACGCAAGAAGCCCTTTTACATTAGGGCGTAGGAGCTCAGCAGGTAGGGTTTAGGGATTGGGGTTTCGGATCCAGGAAAAGGGTTTAGGGTTGCTAGTCTGTCCATGACTGACATTCAGGTTTGGGGTGCAAGAATCTGTGTGTAGTGCCTGTCTACATAGCGCCTGGGGTTATGCTACTTGCCGTTGGAGTAGGCGTACGCAAACAAAGGTATTACTTGTGTAAGGTACGTTTCACCCTCGTCAAGTTGTGCAGGAACCTCCCAAGGTAGGGCCTAAGATGTGCACAGTTTTGCATGAATATAGAAGGGATTGCATTTGCGGTGTCAGAATTCAGCCTAATGGCCTAATGGGTATGATATTCATGCAGGGGCTATAGAGGATTGTGAAGGTGTCTTGGGTATAGGATTTATGTCTCAGGCATTTTGGCCCGGACTGGGCCCTTGAAGAAGGTTCCACACGGAGTTCTTTTGCGGAATGAGGTTCAGTCTGTTGGGACGGTTTAGCCTTCAGGTTTGAATTTGATGGCTCAGCGTGGCGCAGCAGTTTGAGCGTTGCATGTTCATGGTGGGTTGAGTTGGAAAAGGCCTTAAGTTGCCAGGCGGAGGGCTGGGGTATCGGAGTTGGGTCTTAAGAGTGGGGTGTCATCTTCAAAGGCATTTCTGACGCACCCGTCTGCTTCCAGAAATCCGGAGCATGTGACGGAAATCTGTTGTCGATTGCTTCGCACCAGTAGTTTAGACCATGCCCAAAAGGGGAATTGGCAAGAGGTGGCCGCTGTGAGCCCCATGCGCGGGCGACTGCTGCTGATGCCGTGCCGGGGCATGTTATCCAGACATTGAGACAATATAGGTCCACAGGGATCACTTGCGAGCATGCGGGGCTGTTTTTGTTTTGGGGTGTGACTCAGCCTTCACCAAGCTATAAAGCGGCCCAAGTTGCGTAGATATATTATCGGATTTCATGCGTCTTTATGACGTCAGGGTCTAGTGAGCTAAACTCCTGTGTTGCAAGGCTCCTTTGATTAGATTTCGCATGGCCGAGGCAGAGGCAGAGGAATTTTGTGAGAGCTTAGACGCCGAGCTCTCTTCCTGACCGAGGCATGCTTGCCCTCACCTCGCGGCCCCTGTGGTTGAAGTGCCCAAGGCAGAGATTGGGGTGGCAGGGGGGTGGCTCGGCTCTAAGTTCCAGGATTTCTGCGAAAATCATGGCTATTTGTTCGGTGTTCCCATGTCAGGGAGCTTACCGTTCTCCGAAATGCATGGGGCGTGGCAAAAATTTGGCACACCCATGTCAGGCTGTTGAAAAACGACAACATCCTTAGCGCATGCTAGGCTGAAATACAATGTTAGCAAAAGGATGAATTTCCACTGCATCCACTGCATAAGGTTGATAGAAATCCTTTCCAGCCAACTGACCACCAGTTAGATTCGGGGCTTTGGAGAATGTGGCGCAGTACGGGAGCAGCTTTGAAGAATCCAATCCAACAAACAACCCTGCCTAAGCCTGCAAACCCTAAGCCCTGAAGCCGTTGCTCTCAAACCTCGAAGTTCTCGGAATCCTCGGCTCCAGGGCTCAAGCTGAACCCATGCAAAAAGTGGTCCTAAGCTGCGAAGCGCAAGCCTTAGCCCTCCTCTTCCTGAAGGTTCTGGTGAGAGGCGAGGTCCTACCACCAGGCCCTTGCGATGCTTGCCAGGGTGGCCGTGGAAGTTTATTGGTGAATAACCACGGTCGGGCTAGTTACCTGTAAATCTTGATTTCAAGTATGTGGACGGGGAAGAGTGCATTGATTTTTCGCGTTTTATGGTATACCGGCTGCAGTCAGATAGTGTGGTGTTGCGTGTTCATGCTTGCGAGGGGTGCAAATCGTAGAAGCTAGAATCCTTCATGCTTTGGTTTCCGAACTCAAACTGAATGTCCGGACGTCTCTGATGGATTAAGCGCCTAGGCCCTAGGCTTAGGGGATTTTAAGAGGCCCTGCCGCAGCCCGGGCGTTTCCAAACTCTCCGGAGCAGAGCTCCAAACTACTGAGTCTACATCCGTCTACTGTGCAGTTGGGCTGCTGAATGCCAAGAAGCCGCCAGGTTATCCCCAAAAGATAGCGCGTAGAGTGACCTGTATCAGCCCCATGAAGGTCTCAGTGCCCTGCTCATAGTTCTCCTGAAGCTTCATGCCTATCAGCGCAAGGCGCCAATGTGGCTCGCGCTGCGCCTGAGCCTGCAACGGCTCAGTCGCTGCAGCTTCGACTGTTTCTGTTTGGAGTAGGGTTTCTCAAAATGGGGTTTTCCCAAACTTGTAGGCCTACGCAGACCATGAACTCCAAGGCATGACCCCTTGAACCCTAAAAATGGTCATGAGGGGACCACACTTATGAAGGGAATGTGGGGAACATTTCGAGAGCTTTTGATGGATTTCGGGCTGTCCTCGTACAGATGTTGTCTTCCGGTCCTCATGGCCCCCATTCGTGCAATCAGAAGTGGTTGCCGTGTAGAACAGAGCGCAGCAACCTGTGACAGTGAATGAGATATGCCCGAATCAATGTTTCCTGGAACCTCATCTGGATGGTGAAGAAATAGATAGAATGCACAACGAGCTCATTGATAAGTGTCACAGGCCGGCCTGCAAGAATGGCAAGCGACTCTGAATGAACAGAATTCTGGAATGTTGCGGATGTCTGGATGTGCGTTTGCTGGAAGCTTATAACCAGGGCCCTGCAGCACACGGTTTTCCCTGGTGTCCAGGGTTTAAGAAGTGCATATGCACCCCCAAGATGAAAGGGATGTGTGCCTCAGAGTTTGCGACTATCTGGAGATTGGCTGCATCGCGGTTGCAACAGGCGCAGAGTGTGGCCGACTCCTGCCGCCTCTCAAGAACAAGGGTTCGCATTCGAAACCTCCTAATTAGGTTACCAGGTTGAAAACCTTTGATTCCTGAAACTGAAGCATTACATCCCAAACTCTCAGCTCTAATTTCCTTCCAAATCCTAAGCCCTAGACCACAAGCTGAGCCCAGTGGGACCTAGGCAGCAGGTCTACGAAGGCGTGCGAAGCTGCTGGGCTCTGCGCGGAGACAAAATGCAAGGTGAAATGCAGCTGCTGCTCTCAACATCCGATCTTCTTCTCTCAGAATGATAAGGATCGTAGGATTTTTTGAAGTCGTCGTTGTCTCTTTGTCGTTCACACGTGTATGGCGCTGCATTAAGATTGGCAGCGGATCGGAACCTTGAAAAAGGGATACAATTTTGACAGCTACACTAGAAAACGGCAGAGCAGCTCGGCTCAACTTTCTATACATTACTTGGTGTTGTCCACTTGTCTTCAAACAAATCTGTTCGAGAACTGAGGGGGGGACGCTTCTTCTTGAGAGATTGGGATCTTGTTGCTAATTACCGGCTCGTTTTCTGCGACAGAGTGCACTCTCCCTTTCTAGAATTGCAAGTTTCCCCCACCCAGCTGCGCACATAGTGAAGACCGGAACTGTCAATTGTACTGGACTTCATTTTTGCCTGGAGGCATTGAAGAACTCCTCAAACATCTCAGACATGTCAAAAACTGATCCATGAGGTCCCGCAACGTGATTGACGCAATGGGCCCACAGTGTTAACACAACCTTCCATAAATCCTGACCCTGAATCCTACACGCTGAACCCTAAACCCCCAGCCCTAGACCCCATCCCCGGAAACCCTGGAACCCCAACCCTGTTGCATTGCCGAGTTTCCAAGGCCAGGCATCCCGAAACCCCGGGTACGGAACTGGATGCTGCAGGCTCGTTGGGTTCCAGACCCTTAGAGATTTGGCTTTGAGTTGCTCAGGCATTTGTATAAGTTGTAAAGGACATGGGGCTTTGAGGACTTGCTTTGTGGTTCAGTTTGTTTTTCTACTTGGGGTGTTGGGGTCTCGGGATAGCGGGGCAGGACAATGTCAAGATTTTGGGGATTTAGGGTCTAGGGTTGCACATCTTAATTTAAAATTTTGCAGGTTTGGGCATCAGGTGTATAATGCCCACGACCCATAAGCCCACTTATGCCCTGATCCCTGATCCTAATTAGGCTTCAACCTCCACAAACCCACCATAACATCTTGGTGTTGGACAGGCACGACAGGTACTCTCAAGTTCGCGCCCAATGTCCGTTGGGAAAGCGGTGCTGATGCCCCTTGCCTGCATGGAAGGTAGTAGATTTCGGGTCATGAGGCAGGCTTAAGGAGTTCAGGGTTTGGGTCGAAAGTTTAGGGCTTTAGGTTGAGGATGTCAGGCCTGCGCAAGGAACGGTTGTGGTTCTGTTGATGTTAATGCTGCTGCTAATCCTGCTACTGCCAACGCGTTAATGCTAGTTCGAATGCCAGGGCTAATTCTAATGCTTGCGGTGTTGATGGTAGTGGCAGCAGAGGAGGTGTCAGTACAGTAGAAGTTGTTGTCGTGGTATCAGTACTGATCATCCTCAGTGCTGACTGCTGGCGACAGCAACAGCACCCGGCACAGCAGGAAGACCAAGAGGAGGAGCAGCATGAATGACGATAGTAAGATGGACTCTTCTTGGCTGTCTCTGCACTGCCTCAAAATTGGCGCCATCCAGATGTTGCGAGGAGTTGAGAAGGTCAGCGGGGGCACTCAACGTCGAACTCCCACACTCCACAAGTCCCTGTACCTCATGCCCCGTAGCTCATACAACAGAAGGCCTATATCTACATTCGAATCCTTAAGCCTTAACACATGATGCGACGCCCCTGCGTGCAGAGTTACCATGAACCAAGCATTAGCGAAAACCTTTTGCCTCAAAAGCAGGTGGTCCAAGAGTTTCGCCCTTTTCTTCAAGGGTGTCGAGGTGGGCTTTTCGAGAACTGTGGAGGGTCCAGAAGCTAGGGTTGGACGGTCTGAGGGGCAGCAAACGAGCAATCTGAGTAATTGTCGCTTCCCTTCATATTTCGCATATGGTGTCCAAAGCTCCAATTCCAATTATTCATGGCCCCACCATACAGGATCAGGCTCCATTGATGGGGCCTTGCGCTAAGGGTACATGGGTATAAAGCAATAGGAACTTTGCGTGAAAGTTATTCTGTGTTGGGTCCCTGATTTCAATTCCTGATGCCTTTTGGGTGTGCCTTTCGCTCCCAGTGACTGTCGAAGATTGCTAAAATCGAAGGTGCAAGGGGTTTGGGACTTCCGATCCTTGGACCTGGGTTTTCCTCTGGGGGAAAGAGTTGTGGGTTGGCTTTCGTTTCAATCCCAACGACGTTAGCTCCTGCTATCAGAACATGGGACTAGCCCAAAGTCCGGGCATCGACTATGTTTGAGCTGTTGCTTAAGCTCTTCTCTGCTGCCACCTTCAGAGCCCCACGAAATTGCTCCAGAGTCTACGCTGGGATTACTACATCACTGCCCTGTCCTTGCTCCGTTGAGCAGGTCCACCTGACACTCTTGGGCTGCATTAGGTTTCAGTTTGGAGGAAGAATGCCCATGAAATGTTGTTGTACATTAGGTGGAGAACATTCAGGTTCCTTCTACTTTCTATTACACTTCGAGGCAATGTTTCGGATTTTGGGTACCTTGGTTTGCAGTGGCCCAGGCTCCTTTCTTTGATTGCCCCTGCCACAGGACTGTCCCATTTGCTACAATGTCATCCAGCTCACCACGCAGACAATTCCCAGAAAGGCAGGGCGCCTTTCATGGGTCTCTTGAAGCTGAGTGACCATAAGAGATACTACGGGTACGTAGATAGGAATGAATTTACATGTGCATTTGCATCTACACATCCAAATGCGAGAAACTATCAGCCCAAAGAGAGATCTGAAAAAGGTGACGCATTCAAAGTTGGAATCAGGACCCTAATCGCCAAGACAAGCGATCAAACTGCGGAAATCTGCCGAAACCCTTCGATCTAGTAAAAAATTCAGTTCCTGCCAGGGCTAGTCCGAGTCCGACCTTGGTGTTTCGGTTAACTGCTACCTGTAAATCAGGGAATCTTCAGCATAACTCTTTTTGCCCTCTGCCTATGGATTAGCCCCGAGACTGTAAAAGCCGAGACCCACTAAATCGCAGACTCCAAACCCCGAACCCGAAACCACCATTCCTGGGTCTTCCAGAAATCATTGGAAGAGAGCACGAAAGCTAATATGTTTCTAAAACTACGGGGCTGGGTAACCTCTCAAGCGCAAGGCATGTCCCACTTGCAAGCACAAGTTCCACAACGAGCCACTTGCCGCAAGTTTTTCGAGTATTACTCCAGTTGCCGGGGTGTCAGGTTTTGGGCGGGAGCAGGTCAGGAAGAAGTTGCCTTCCGTTGGGACTTCGGGGTTAGGTTCAGGGAGCAATGGGAGCCTGGACTCCGGGTTTTCAGCCATGATTCATTCCCAACAAGATGTCGTAGTATAGTGGAAGCATTATGCTCTTAGATCTGCAGCATTTGGCGCATAGTTTTTGTCAGGTCTGCTTGTATATGCCACGACCAACCCGGAACGCTCCGTTTCTATCATTCAGCCCCTACATTTGTTCAGGGCCAACATTTGAACACACTCTCCGCCTGATTTCCAGAAGAATCTTTCCATCCCTGACCTCAGGGCCGCCAGGTGCGCAAGGATGGTTTGATAGGTCCCGTGGTATAGGGTTCCATGGTCCATGGTTGTAGCGGCCCGGCAACAAAAGAGGCAGGCTCTTGATAAACAACCTGGTGATCCTGGTGCTCCCTGAACTTGCGGTAGTTGAGCATTTTGAGAAATTAGGGGCGACCTATTCTTCTAGATTAGGACGCTGCATCAGCTTTTGCTTTCTCGAAACAACCAGTCTTTGGGACTCGAGTTTCTGAGCCATGGGTCTGAAATTGACCTGAAGCCCTGATCCCCCAAACCTCTTCTCCTTTGCGATGTACGTGCTACCAAATCAGCTGCCTTTGCAAAAGCTTGAACCCAGATTCCAATTCTCCCCAGGAATCTGCAATTCCTAAGCCCAAAGCCCTAAGCTCTAGATCCAACAGCTCCTAATTCCTCGTCCCAGCAGTCTGCAGGTGCCTCTACCAGTGGTTCCGCTCATCCTCCAAGACAACCTGCCCCCTCTGCAACCAACCGCGGACTGCTGAGTTAAGGGATGAGGGCGTAGAGTCCATTCAACTGCAGTAACGTTTTGGGTTGAAGCTTTGAGCTTTGGAGTTTGTTGTGTGCAGCGTTTGGTTGGTTTTGCGTTTTGCGCTCAGGGCCCCGAACCAACATTGAAGCTAAAATAGTTGTTCAATGACTGCGTGTATATCCTTCAGACAGGAAAAGAACCCGAGCCATTGTGGGCCAAAACTGCTTGCATGAGCAAGATTCTTTACCACAGTATTTTAAAACCCTCTAAATAGCATGGGCTGGACTCGCGTCTGCACATTCCCTGAGCCTTTGACGATCAGACTGCGCATGCGGATTTTTAACTGTTTGTATCCACGGTATACTTTGGGGTATCCTATTAATCCTACATACACTCACATACGTAAGCATACAGAATTCCATAAATGTCAGTAAGGTTGTCCAAGAGCTTTATGGCTATACCTATCAGAGCGGAATCATCACAAGCTGATTGCTAATGTCTGTACATACAGTCGGTCTTACATACTTGTACCCCCAGAAGTTTGAGGTTTTCAAGCGTAACCTTTGGTATATTCTACACATAGGAGGACGCAAGCTCGAGAGTCCCTATAGTTGAATTGACTCTTGATATGAATTTACAAAGCCTTGAAATGATCTTACCTGAAATATGGATTTTGATTCTGCCAACACCCAAAGCTCCTGTCATAGCTATACCCAGACACACCGGAGACTTCAGACCCACCATATCGAGGTAATCATTCACCACAATTTCAAGCCTGCCAGGTCGTATTCCGCCACAGGATTCCTTGGCTTGAGGCTCACTGCATTCCCATTACTCTATTCCTTGTGGCCGTTTCGATGTCAGTGAAGCCTCCAAAACTGCGACCCAGAAATTCAAAATCCTCAGCCTCAAGCAAACCATAACCTTTCAATACTAACCCCGAACCCCAAAAGTGCTCCCAAGCTCAGGTTCTGAGGTCGATGGCAGCGTGGGAGCCCGGATCCCGGTCTGAAAGGCTGAAGCTCTCCTAGCTTGGATTTACACGCAAACTCCTAGGACAGACACATGCAGGAGCCAAATAGTTGAGAAATGCAGAGTCTCCCCTCCACTGCTCCACCCGGGCATGCATGATTTGTTTTTTTCGTTTTGTTGCCTGCAGGTTCCACCACTTCCACGTCTCGGGTGTGATGAGCACGAGGAAAGGGGGGATGCTCCGGCAGCGGTGGCCGCACCTGCAGAGACTGGTGCAAGTGATGCTGGTGTTTCGGCAGCATGGAACGGGCCTTTTTCCCAAGTGTGGCTCAATTCGGTCTGGCTTTCTTAGGTGTGGCCCAGAGCCCCTGGTTCTCTGGTCCCCTGGTCCTCTCGTTGTCCTCTGGTCCCCTGGTCCTCTGGTGCCCTGGTCCTCTGGTCCCCTGGTCCTCTGGTCCCCTGGTCCGCTGGTCCCCTAGTCCTCTGGGCAAACCAAAAATATTGCAATGGTGTAATTGGCAGTATTTCTAACCTTCCAAAAGCGGCAACCAAAGACCAGAGGATCGAGACTTGACATGCTACGACTTTTGAGAAGNNTGTTCGCGGCTCTTGCAAGGCTACGCGTGTTGTATATAACAGCATTGGGAGCTCTTGGAAAGTGAAGAAGGTTTTAAAATCCAGAATTTGCGCCTCTTGGAAGAGAGGGCATACTGCAAAAAAGCTATCTCGTAATGCAGACACATTGCAGAACAGATCAGTCAAAGTGCTGCAAGAGGCTGCGCGTTCTGATTTTCGTCCACGTTTTGCAAACAGGGGAAGGGCTGCCCCCCCCAACCCCCCCCAGCTATTTCGTAACTGCAAAAACAAATGGCTGCAAGAAGCTTGTGCGTTCTGATCTTCGACCATGTTTTGCAAATGGCGCCCAAACCCCCGTGTCGTAATGCAGCGCGATGCAAAAACCAACCTATCAACGGTTGCAAAGGAGCTGAGGTCTTCGTCGATTTTTTTTGCAGACAGGGGGGCTGCCCCTCCCACAATCCCCTTGTTATTGCGTGGTGTAGGCACGATGCAAAAAAATATCAACGGTAGCTAGAAGCTAGTGTGTTCTGATTGCCGTCGATGGCTTGCAGACGGGGGGGCTGCGTCCCCCCCCCAGCCACCGCTATTTGGTAATGCAAGCGCGATGCAAAAACCTTATCAACGGTTTGAAGCCAGTGTGGCCTGATCTTCGTGCGCGTTCCGCAGATGGACGGTGTATAGGCCCCCCAAGCCCCCTCGTATTTCGTAAGGCAAGCGCAGTGCAAAACACAACCGATGAAAGGGTGACAGAAGCGACGTGGGCTGATGTGTTGCAGCGCCCCTCCCAACCCCCCACTATTTCGTAATGCCAGCACCATGCTAAAAAACAAAAATTGTCAACGGTTGCACGAAACAAGTGTGTTCTGATCTTCGTCAGCGTTCTTTCTGCAAATGGGGTTGAAGGTTTATCGGCCCCCAAAACCTTCCATTATTTCGTAATGCAAGCACAATGCAAACCACAACCTATCAAAGGGAGCAAGAAGCGACATGTTCTGATCTTTGTCCATGCTTTGCAAATGGGGGTGTTTCACTTGTTTGACATGCAAGGGCGCTGCTTAGCAAATCCGGATGTGCAAGAAATTTTGTGTTCCCATATTTTTCCAACTTGCGACATCTTATCATATTTGCACAAAAAAATGGAGGCTCTGAGCTTCCGAAAGGGCGGGTTGCGCCAGCCCCAATCCCCTGCTATGATCAGGCGGGTCGGGTCACCATCCGCGTACCTGTCATTGTTTGGGTTTTGACATCTTTTTTGAGTGTCCAAAGTGTCAACAGTCACAAGGATCACGCGGGTCGGGGTCACCATCCGCGTAACTGTCAGCGTTTTTGCGTTTTGACATCTTTTTTGCGTGTCCAAAGTGTCAACAGTCACAAGGAGTCGGGGTCGCCATCCTCGTAATTGTCGTCGTTTTTGAGCTGTCACATGATCGTTGCATGGCAAAATTGGAAACAGTGCCAAGGATGAGCGAAAATGGATGAGCCACACCTAGGAAAAGAAATGCGGTGAGCCACACTTAGGAAAAAACCCTCCACCGTTTCAATTTCACGTTGGTAAGGTCCAGTTGCTGGAGGTTTTCGCCTACGGGGGAGCTCCTGCAGGTTTTTCAACACGTGTTTCGGGTTTTCAGCTGTGGGGTTATACTGTATAAGTTTGAGAGATATCTCATTGGCACATGGTAGGGAATGAAGGAGTGAATCCTGGGATTTTGTCAAATTCGAAGGCTTACGCATTTGCATGCAAATCTTTTCCCAAACAGACATTTGCTTGAAAGCCGGCAAATCGCAGGATTCCCGTGATAGGCATTCTACAGAACAGAACCGGAAACTGTGGGAAGTGCCGCAGGACATACCATTGTCGTCAAGTAGGGACCCTGACGACCCTGACATCCGATCAGGTCCAGCTGGAAAGTGGCCGCTCAACCCCAAAGGCAAGTAGAAACCCTCAGCATCAGTGAGCATTCCTGCTGTCCAGGGTTATGATGCTAATAACATCATGTTTCCCATCCTGATCTACAGTTAGGTGCTGGTAGATACGTGTTTTTTCGTGTTGTTGTATGAGTAGTGAGGTTTGGTGTAAAAAATGCCCAAATCATAAGCTGCATCTCGAAGGCACTATCCAGTGGAACCTGAGAGGCTTGCGCCCAAATCCTGCACCTTAAGCCTTACCACCTACAACTAAAGCATCAGAACGCACGCGCTCAACCCTACACCGTACAATTTAAGACTTAAACCGTATCCTCGAAGCACTTTAATTAAGCCACAAAGACTTTGTTTGTCTGAAACGAGGTGCGCGCGGTGACCCGCAGCGCAGAGCGTGCGGGCTCCGTCAAGAGAGGAAGCCCAGATGCTTAGAGATCAAGGCCTTGTTTACAATGACCATACAATGAAAACAACCAACGCAAATCGCGGCAGTGCCTTACATTGGTGGTTTGCCCTTAGCATTAGATCCATAACCTATAGGACCCTCCTCGAGGCTTCGCACATCCGATTCAGGAACCCCGAAACTTCCAAGTTTTACACCTCAAAGTGCTCATTGCTAAAAAAATCCAAATCGGGCCTCCTGCTTGGAGCAGTTTTCTTAGTCCTTGCGCCGACAGCAGACTCAGCACGTGGCAGGTGGGCACTATTGATAAACAACGGTCGTCAAAGATCCTTCTAGTGTGGGGGTGGCCAAGGACTTTGGGGGATGTCATCCTATGCAGCATTGCCACACCTTTCTGCTATGCGATAGTGGTGGGGACGGTAGCTGCATCCAGATTCTTTCGTTAAGTCTGCTCCCTCAGTTCAGTTGTGACTGCAAAATGGAATTCGCTGGGTCCCTTTTTACGCGTGATGACCATCGGGCTCTTGCTAGTAGATTCCTGGTGGCAGCTACGCTGACAAAAAAACGTATCAGTACCAAGCTGCAAACGGTAAACTCCCAGATCCTGCTTTACCTCGTGTCTCAGGTGAATTCTTGTGCAATCCGGCAGAAACGCGTTCATTACCCTTTCATTCTGCTCTGATGCGCGGTATTTCTGAGGAAGCTTAGAGTTCACCGTTTATGAGCAAACCAATGCTACTCCTCGATTCGGTGTGGCACCTGCGCGTGACTCGGAGAAGCTGCTGTTGTACAGTAGGCCGAAGATGCAAGGCAGCAAAAAGGGCCTTGGAAACCAAGGCATGGGTAATTGCCACAATCAGGGGCCATCAGGGGCCATCAGGGGCCAATTGTGCAGGCTGCATTTTACGGGGTAGACAAGAGATATGTTAATGCAGGAACCACCAACATGGTTTAGGATAGAGGGTGCGGTGCGACTCTTAGTAGGCATATTGTGCTGAGGATTTTGATGCTTTGGATTGAAGCGTTTGCTGGAGGCTTTAGTTGGGTTTTGGGCATGGAGACCGGAAAGTACAGGTGCAGTGTGTGTTGGCGGGGCCAAGGATAAAGATGATTGCATGGCGGCTAAGAAAAATCCTGTGCAAGCCTGGGATAGGATGGGATTCCAACAAACACACTCGACTTGCCCTGCTCGCCTGGCCTTGCTGAAGAAATCTTGCATGGAGGGAACGATGCAACTCCGAGGCTATGAAACACGTTGGGTATTGTCCTCACCCAGCAGCAGTCTGTAATTTTCAATAGGGTCAATGCTAGGACTGGGATCTTTAATTCTAAGATAGCAATTATGTAACTGCTACTGGGTGGGGCCAGATGCCTGAGTCGACTCCGCATGGGCTGGCCTCCAGAAGCTCGGGCGTTGATAGATGGATATGTGTCGGCATAGGGTGGCGCGTTTCTGGAAACTGAGATCCCCTTTTGAGTGGCGCTTTAGAATGTCAGCGCAGGCCTTCAGATTTCAAAGCATATGCAGTTGGCACTCCAGCCCTTGTCGTACAGAGTTAGACTTGCGTTTTACCTGATTCAGAATTCAGCCACCTTCAGCTACCACACTAGCCTAAGTGATTGCTAGCCATCCGCGATGCCCCTTACAGAGTTGCATGGGACCCGCTCCCTCTCAGAACTCAACACGCTCAACACCTATTCTACCAGACCTCTACGGAAGAACATGTCTCACAATACCACCAAGAGGGCGCTGTCGCCAGAGCAAGTGTTCCCGGTTGGTCTTTCCCTGTTGCCGCCTTCCCGCTCAAGTTGCAGCAACGCTTTGTCATCACATGGAGAGACCTTCAGCTGTAGCTGCTTTTCCGGCAGTGGCCTAGGTGAGCATTTGAGGACTAAAGCTCTGAACGAGAAGTGTTGTTGCTGCGATCGATTTGCCTGGCTGATCCCTGCTATTATTATCATTCATGGATTCGCTCGATTCTTGTGTTCGTGCAATTGACGACCGTGAAGCATAAAGCAACTGCATCAAACAATCAGCTCGCAGTCATTATCCTGCGGGCCGCCACGGATCATGGCCAGGTTCTTAAGTCCTGAAAGGATGGTTCTTTCTATGTCTTCTAGGTTGCTTATCTACTACTGTTCTTGTGTTAGATTTCAATTCGCAGTGTCAGCAGTCTGCCAACCATCTCGTTTGGGGCTGCTAGGCTTGGAGTCCATTTCTTCTGGCTGTTTCACAGCTTGGGGGGGGGGGCGGAGTGTGGATTTTTCAAGTCACATCAGGGGGATTAGGGCCTAAGGGAGTGGATTCAAGGAAACGCTACGCCTCTACAATAGCCCCTAGAAAAAAGGTCCTGAAGACTCCAGAGAGGCCAAGCTCAACACGAG